TTCGCTGTTTCGCATGCGCCCGGCAAAGGTGGCAGCCGGCAGCTTCCAGAGCTACTTTTCTAAGGGCTTCGGAAAGCAACGTTAGGCAGTGGCGCCTGGCCTTGGGACACGCGGTTGGGACCAGCAGGCCCTGCTGTTTTGCTGTTTCGCTGTTTCGCATGCGCCCGGCAAAGGTGGCAGCCGGCAGCTTCCAGAGCTACTTTTCTAAGGGCTTCAGAAAGCAACGTTAGGCAGTGGCGCCTTGCCTTGGGACACGCGGTTGGGACCAGCAGGCCCTGCTGTTGCGCTGTTTCGCATGCGCCCGGCAAAGGTGGCAGCCGGCAGCTTCCAGAGCTACTTTTCTAAGGGCTTCAGAAAGTGGCGCCTGGCCTTGGGACACGCGGTTGGGACCAGCAGGCCCTGCTGTTTCGCTGTTTCGCATGCGCCTGGCAAAGGTGGCAGCCGGCAGCTCTTAGAGCTACTTTTCTAAGGGCTTCAGAAAGCAACGTTAGGCAGTGGCGCCTGGCCTTGGGACACGCGGTTGGGACCAGCAGGCCCTGCTGTTGCGCTGTTTCGCATGCGCCCGGCAAAGGTGGCAGCCGGCAGCTTCCAGAGCTAGTTTTCTAAGGGCTTCAGAAAGCAACGTTAGGCACTGGCGCCTGGCCTTGGGACACGCGGTTGGGACCAGCAGGCCCTGCTGTTTCGCTGTTTCGCATGCGCCCGGCAAAGGTGGCAGCCGGCAGCTTCCAGAGCTACTTTTCTAAGGGCTTCAGAAAGCAACGTTAGGCAGTGGCGCCTGGCCTTGGGAAACGCGGTTGGGACCAGCAGGCCCTGCTGTTGCGCTGTTTCGCATGCGCCCGGCAAAGGTGGCAGCCGGCAGCTTCCAAGCGGGACCAGAAGGCCTGCTGTTCGCTGTTTGACATGCGCCGCAAAGGTGGCGGCCGGGCAGCTTCCAGAGCTACTTTTCTAAGGGATTCGGAAGGCAAAGTAGGACTAGTGGCGCTGGACTTGGGACACGCGGTTGGGACCAGAAGCCCTGCTTGTTCCGCCCCGTTGCACGAGAGCCCGGTCGTCCCTCAGGGCCATGCTTTTCGATGTTCGGATGCGCCGTTTGTGGGAGACTCGGGCGCTGGAAGACAGCTCTAGATTTTCTGTAGGGTCGAAAAGTGACGTTAGGAGTGGGGTCCGGGTTGCCGGCGGCCCGGTTCGTCCCTCAGGGCCTGCGTTTCGCTGTTCGGATGCGCCGTTTGTGAGCTGCGGCGGCTGGAAGACAGCTAGATTTTCTTGTAAGGTCAGAAAGTGACGTTAGGCAGTGGGGGCCGTTGCCCGGAGGCCCGGTCCGTCCCTCAGGGCCCTGCTGTTTCGCTGTTTCGCATGCGCCCGGCAAAGGTGGCAGTCGGCAGCTTCCAGAGCTACTTTTCTAAGGGCTTCAGAAAGCAACGTTAGGCACTGGCACCTGGCCTTGGGACACGCGGTTGGGACCAGCAGGCCCTGCTGTTTCGCTGTTTCGCATGCGCCCGGCAAAGGTGGCAGCCGGCAGCTTCCAGAGCTACTTTTCTAAGGGCTTCAGAAAGCAACGTTAGGCAGTGGCGCCTGGCCTTGGGACACGCGGTTGGGACCAGCAGGCCCTGCTGTTTCGCTGTTTCGCATGCGCCCGGCAAAGGTGGCAGCCGGCAGCTTCCAGAGCTGCTTTTCTAAGGGCTTCGGAAAGCAACGTTAGGCAGTGGCGCCTGGCCTTGGGACACGCGGTTGGGACCAGCAGGCCCTGCTGTTTCGCTGTTTCGCATGCGCCCGGCAAAGGTGGCAGCCGGCAGCTTCCAGAGCCTACTTTTTCTAAGGGCTTCAGAAAGCAACGTTAGGCGTGGCGCCTGGCCTTGGGAAAAACGCGGTTGGGTGGGTGGTTGGGACCAGCAGGCTTGATGTTGCGCTGTGTTCGCCTGCGCCGGCAAAGGTGGCAGCAGGCCATGCTTCCAGAGCTACTTTTAAAGGGACTTTCGGAAAGCAACGTTAGGCACTGGCGCCTGGCCTTGGGACACGCGGTTGGGACCAGCAGGCCCTGCTGTTTCGCTGTTTCGCATGCGCCCGGCAAAGGTGGCAGCCGGCAGCTTCCAGAGCTACTTTTCTAAGGGTTTCAGAAAGCAACGTTAGGCAGTGGCGCCTGGCCTTGGGACACGCGGTTGGGACCAGCAGGCCCTGCTGTTTCGCTGTTTCGCATGCGCCCGGCAAAGGTGGCAGCCGGCAGCTTCCAGAGCTACTTTTCTAAGGGCTTCAGAAAGCCACGTTAGGCAGTGGCGCCTGGCCTTGGGACACGCGGTTGGGACCAGCAGGCCCTGCTGTTTCGCTGTTTCGCATGCGCCCGGCAAAGGTGGCAGCCGGCAGCTTCCAGAGCTACTTTTCTAAGGGCTTCAGAAAGCGACGTTAGGCAGTGGCGCCTGGCCTTGGGACACGCGGTTGGGCCAGCACAGCAAAGGCCTGCGTTTCGCTGTTTCGCATGCGGGGGGACCCGGCAAAAGGTGTCAGCGGCAAGTCCAGAGCTACTTTTCTTAGGGCTTCAGAAACAACGGGAGGCATGGCGCTGCCTTGGGACCACGCGGTCGGTTGGGACAGCAGGCCCTGCTGTTTCGCGTTCGCTGCGCCCGGAAAAGGTTCTGGCAGCCGGCAGCTTCCAGAGCTAGTTTTCTAAGGGCTTCAGAAAGCCACGTTAGGCACTGGCGCCTGGCCTTGGGACACGCGGTTGGGACCAGCAGGCCCTGCTGTTTCGCTGTTTCGCATGCGCCCGGCAAAGGTGGCAGCCGGCAGCTTCCAGAGCTACTTTTCTAAGGGCTTCAGAAAGCAACGTTAGGCAGTGGCACCTGGCCTTGGGACACGCGGTTGGGACCAGCAGGCCCTGCTGTTTCGCTGTTTCGCATGCGCCCGGCAAAGGTGGCAGCCGGCAGCTTCCAAAGCGGGACCAGCAGGCCCTGCTGTTTCGCTGTTTCGCATGCGCCCGGCAAAGGTGGCGGCCGGCAGCTTCCAGAGCTACTTTTCTAAGGGCTTCGGAAAGCAACGTTAGGCAGTGGCGCCTGGCCTTGGGACACGCGGTTGGGACCAGCAGGCCCTGCTGTTTCGCCCCGTTGCCCGAGGCCCGGTCCGTCCCTCAGGGCCCTGCTGTTTCGCTGTTTTGGATGCGCCGTTTGTGAGCCTCGGCAGCTGGAAGACAGCTAGATTTTCTTGTAGGGTCAGAAAGTGATGTTGGGCAGTGGGGGCCGTTGCCCGGAGGCCCGGTCCGTCCCTCAGGGCCCTGCTGTTTTGCTGTTTCGGATGCGCCGTTTGTGAGCTGCGGCGGCTGGAAGACAGCTAGATTTTCTTGTAGGGTCAGAAAGTCACGTTAGGCAGTGGGGGGCCGTTGCCCGGAGGCCCGGTCCGTCCCTCAGGGCCCTGCTGTTTCGCTGTTTCGCATGCGCCCGGCAAAGGTGGCAGTCGGCAGCTTCCAGAGCTACTTTTCTAAGGGCTTCAGAACAACGTTGGGCCTGGCTCCTGGCCTTGGGACACGCGGTTGGGACCAGCATTGCCCTGCGTTTTCGCTGTTTTCGCATGCGCCCGCCAAGGTGCAGCCGGCAGCTTTCCAGAGCTACTTTTCTAAGTGCTTCCAGAAAATCACGTTAGGCATGGCGCCTGCCTGGGGGGAAACAAAACGCGGTTGGGACCAGCAGGGCCCTGCTGTTTCGCTGTTTCGCATGCGCCCGGCAAAGGTGGCAGCCGGCAGCTTCCAGAGCTACTTTTCTAAGGGCTTCAGAAAGCAACGTTAGGCAGTGGCGCCTGGCCTTGGGACACGCGGTTGGGACCAGCAGGCCCTGCTGTTTCGCTGTTTCGCATGCGCACGGCAAAGGTGGCAGCCGGCAGCTCTTAGAGCTACTTTTCTAAGGGCTTCAGAAAGCAACGTTAGGCAGTGGCGCCTGGCCTTGGGACACGCGGTTGGGACCAGCAGGCCCTGCTGTTGCGCTGTTTCGCATGCGCCCGGCAAAGGGGGCAGCCGGCAGCTTCCAGAGCTAGTTTTCTAAGGGCTTCAGAAAGCCACGTTAGGCACTGGCGCCTGGCCTTGGGACACGCGGTTGGGACCAGCAGGCCCTGCTGTTTCGCTGGTTCGCATGCGCCCGGCAAAGGTGGCAGCCGGCAGCTTCCAGAGCTACTTTTCTAAGGGCTTCAGAAAGCAACGTTAGGCAGTGGCGCCTGGCCTTGGGACACGCGGTTGGGACCAGCAGGCCCTGCTGTTGCGCTGTTTCGCATGCGCCCGGCAAAGGTGGCAGCCGGCAGCTTCCAGAGCTAGTTTTCTAAGGGCTTCAGAAAGCAACGTTAGGCACTGGCACCTGGCCTTGGGACACGCGGTTGGGACCAGCAGGCCCTGCTGTTTCGCTGTTTCGCATGCGCCCGGCAAAGGTGGCAGCCGGCAGCTTCCAGAGCTACTTTTCTAAGGGCTTCAGAAAGCAACGTTAGGCACTGGCGCCTAGCCTTGGGACACGTGGTTGGGACCAGCAGGCCCTGCTGTTGCGCTGTTTCGCATGCGCCCGGCAAAGGTGGCAGCCGGCAGCTCTCAGAGCTATACTTTTCTAAGGGCTTCAGAAAGCAACGTTAGGCACTGGCGCCTGGCCTTGGGACACGCGGTTGGGACCAGCAGGCCCTGCTGTTTCGCTGTTTCGCATGGGCCCGGCAAAGGTGGCAGCCGGCAGCTTCCAGAGCTACTTTTCTAAGGGCTTCAGAAAGCAACGTTAGGCAGTGGCGCCTGGCCTTGGGACACGCGGTTGGGACCAGCAGGCCCTGCTGTTTCGCTGTTTCGCATGCGCCCGGCAAAGGTGGCAGCCGGCAGCTCTCAGAGCTATACTTTTCTAAGGGCTTCGGAAACCAACGTTAGGCAGTGGCGCCTGGCCTTGGGACACGCGGTTGGGACCAGCAGGCCCTGCTGTTGCGCTGTTTCGCATGCGCCCGGCAAAGGTGGCAGCCGGCAGCTTCTAGAGCTACTTTTCAAAGGGTTTCCGAACGCGTCGTTAGGACGGGCCAGGTTCACGCGGCTTGGCCACCTGCCATTGGCTGGTTTTGCATTCCCGACACACACGCACATACGCCCACATACACACCCACACACACACACCCACACACACACACACCCACACACACACCCACACACACACACACACACGCCCACATACACATACACTATATGCCACACTACTCCCCAGATCTCCCCATAAATGCCTCTCTGCGAGGCCCTCCCTGTTCAGGAGTATATATATATATATATATATATACGGCCCCTATTCAGGGCTCTGCTCCCTGTGCAGGAGACTAATGATCCCTATCCGGTCCTCGGTCACGATGTCCTCCGCTTCTTCGCGTTCTTTTCCAGGGGTCGGCGGCAGGGGGCGTTAGCCCTTAAATTTCATAGGGATTTCCAGCACATCTGGCGTTTTATGTCAAAGCCAAAAGGCCTAGAAAGTCTTGAAGCAAGGTGAGTGGAATCATCCCTTCAGGAAGCGGAAGGTCAAATACAGATGTGGTAAACCCGATAACAAAGCACCAAGTTTGGAAGTTTTTTTTTGCACCATTTAATGGGCACTACTAGGGATGATGTATTAGTGGGTTTACCACATTTTCATACATTATCCACATTATTCGATGATATTTGATACATTTTTGTAGCTGGTGATGTTTGGTGCTCTGTTGTGCCCCGTTGCGATACAAACATGGGGTATGGGAGAAATGTTGCAGAAATGCACGAAAAAATGCTGGAAATTGGGGAGTTGCCACTCCAAAAAAATCCACGCTTCTCGGGCCTGGAATGAACCAAAAAAAACCTCTGGATATCCCTATGTCTAGTGGTGAACAAGTAGATTTCCCACATTTGTAATTCAAACCAACCCAAACATTACAAATGTGGGTTTGTCTGAAAATTGTGTGGATCCCAAAACTCATAGACTCATAGATTCGGGTTCATCCCCTATGTTTGAACAAAACCATCTGACATTGTTGGTTGGTTAGTTTGTAACCCCCGAATCTCATCCCCAGTTTTGATGATTAATGTTGCTAATTTCAAACTAATTTCAAATTAATTTACACATGTCTGGCTCGACATATGATGTGATCCCAATTAGCGTTGGACATTCCCATAAATGTGTGGTTATATCATATCCCAATATATTTTCATACGCTCTTGGTGAAGCCACCATTTTTGTTGTCTAAACCCAATCTGGTTTCTGTTAAGATCTTCTTTATGGATGCTCACACGGATCGGCACCTGAAGATTTGGCAGGGCAGCCAAGGTCTTTTCCGCCAGGGCACGATTCTCCATTGACAAGGCTTCCTGAGACCAGCAGCCGAGCAGCCAACCCACCCATGAGAGTACAAAATTCAGGGGGAATTCATTGGGAACAATAGGGACAATATCGGTAGTACACACACACATATATATGTATGTATGTATGTATGTGTGTATGTATGAATGTATGATGTATGTACGTATGTATGTATGCATGCATGCATGCATGCATGCATGTATGTCTGTGTGCGAATGTATGTATGTATGTATGCATGCATGCATGCATGCATGCATGCATGGATGGATGGATGGATGGATGGATGGATGTATGTATGCATGTATGTTTCTATGTTTCTAAATATGTATGTATGTATGTATGTATGCATGCATGCATGTATGTATGTATGTATGCATGTATGTATGTATGTATGTATGCATGTATGTATGTATGATATTTACCCCGCATACATGTATAATGTTATTAATATTGTTATGATGACGATTATGATTGTTACTATCATTAAATAATGATTGTTACTATTATTGTGGCGTTTATTTTCATGTAAAGCAAAAATTATCATTGTCATTTTATCATTATATATGCCCTATTTCCCTCAATGTGAACGATATATTCCGATATCATTCCCATGATGGTGATTTCATGGGAACAATGCGGGACCTTTTTTATGGGAATAACATGGGAATATACATCTACTGGGGATAAGGTTTCAACCGCCCCAAAGCTGACCCCAACAAAAAGGTTTTATTGAACCAACAATCACTGTAACGACGAATCTGAAACCTCTACTAGTGAGTGAGGGGATCAACCTTCATGGGGTTGGCTAGATACCCAAAAACACAAGGTACCTACCAATGGACACAGAAAAAACTGACAAACAAATGCGTTGTTTTTTGAAAATCTAATAGTACGACATGATATTTAAAAAGCAACGAATATAAATATA